GGTCTCAGTTTATAAATTTGGCCAAAAAATATAAACTCAAAAAATGTGTTTCCGTTTTGAGTTTTGAGTTTTTTTTTTTGTATTAATATAAATTGAACTGACCTAAGTATTACATTTAAATAATTTTATATTTTAATTCTTTTAGCGTTAGAAGATAAGTGAACTGTATAAATGCACTTAAAAAAAAAAAAAGGCATTTACAGAGCAACTTTTTATACTTTATTCTTAATGTGAAATTTTACAAATTTTTACAAAACCCTTAAAATCTCATGCAAATACTCATTGATATCAAATTGACAAAATCAAATCGTAACATAAAACCTATATTGGTTCTGTTGGCACTGAATTCAAACTAAGGCTGAGAAAGGAATCCGTAAAATTCGTAATCCGATCTGATCCAATCTAATCTTGTAGGTTTGGATTGATTTTTTGAATCTGTGATTCGATTCTAGATTGACAAATTAAAAATCCGTAGTCTACGGATCAGTTCCGGATTGAACCCTACGGTTCCGAATTGGAACTGATCCGGACTGTATACAAATAGCCTATATTTATATTATACACCCTTCCGCATAGTATCTTCTCTTATTCCATATAAAACCTAAATCTAAACATAAACCCGCATAATATCTTTTTTTTATTACTTTTGTTTGTTGGTTTTTAGTTTTAATTTGTAATGGTCTAAATATTTATAGTGAAACTAGTTTTCTTATGACTGTTTAAATTCTAGAACAGCATGTCACTATTATGGAAAGACATGTTACTATTGTGGAACAAATATGGTGTTATGTTTATATTTTTATGAAATTAGAATGTTCTATATTTGTTTTTTGTTATTTAATTATGTGAATTCCTGGACCTAAACCGATCTAATCCGTATTTAAATAGATTGGTTCCACGATTTAAACGAATTGGATTGGTTCCAATTTTTTAGGAACTGTAGATAACGGATTGGTCTTGATTTTAACCCAATCCGGGCCAATCCGGACCATGCTCACCCCTACACTTTCCACCACCGTCTTCCGCCGTCACTTGCCATCACTTGCCATTTCTCACTATTTTTTTATATTTTTAAATTTTTTTTAAACATTTTGTCAATTACCAAACATGTTTGTAATTTATATTTTTATAAAAATAAATAAAAATTAATTTATAAAATTTTTATAAATATAAATTAAACGGTTCCAAACAGACCCTAAACAAGTCAAAAATTGATATGGACTCCGGCTGACGAAAGCTCAACAACACTTTCTAACCCGATATGAATGGGAGATCAACGCTTATTATTACTATTTTATTCTTTGTTTTTTTGGTTGGTATTATCCTTTTTTTTTATATATTTATTATTCAAGATAGGTATGTGAGTGTAATTTACCGTGAACTTTATTTATCCTTCTAACAATCATTTCTAATCCAATTTCATAGGAAAATGAGTGGGAGCACTAATTAGTGCTACCACTAATGATGTGGCAGTAGGTCTCAATATGAATGATTTGATGTTTTGGCCTTGGTGTTGTATTTTTTTTCTTTTTTTATTGAATGTCATGTCATTAGTGGTCTTTTTAGAGCTCCAAAATTAGTGGTCTCTATCATTGTTGAATTTCATATCATCTATCAAATTTAAATTTAATAAAAATTTTGTAAAATTGATATTTCTATCATTTTATTAAATCGGTATTAAACAAAGAGAGTTTTGTTTTTTTATCAAATCAAAAGTTGTAGATGACCGTGGGTAAACGACCGGATAAATGACCGACCAAACGATCAAGTAGATGACTAATTTGAAAACTTAAAACTACACTATCAGATGATCAAATAGATGACCGACTTAACGACTGGTTAAATTTAATGAAACGATAGAAACACATCGCATCAAGAGGTGATTTGGAAAATTTGTTAAATTTTTTTTCCTTTTATATATAAAAAATAATATAATTTAAAATGAATTAAAAATTAAATTAATTTTTAACTAGCTTTCAAATTATTCAAAATTGTACACTTAAATTTAATAGTAAAAAATTTAAATAAGGTCAAGTTTGACAAGTTAAAAAAAAGTCAAAAAATCAAAAATTATTCAAAAAGTTAAAAAATTATCACTATTTATCAAAATTTAAAAATTACAGCTGCACAACTCTCAATTCTAATTTTTCTCTACACACTAATTTATACAATTTTTTAATATATATTTTTTTAAAAAAATCAAAAAATTAACTTAAATAATCATATTTTTTTCCTTAATTTTTTAATTTAAAAAATTAAAAAATACATTTATTTAGAACATCTCAAACAATTACAACCCCAAGAGGGGAGAAGCTCTAACACGCTCTTAAAAACGACAAAATATCCCTACTGTATTATAACATCTTATCAGTACGTTGTCTCTCTCTCTCTCTCTCTCTCTCTCCATTCTGCAATTTCTATCTTTCTCTCTCTATCTGCACACACATACCAGCTCTCTCTCTCTCTCTCTCTCTCTCCATTCTGCAATTTCTATCTTTCTCTCTCTATCTGCACACACATACCAGTAGAAAACAGAGAGAGAGAGAGGTAACCTCGGGAACTGAGTTCAGAAGAAGAACAAAAATGACAATTGCGAGAGAAGAAGCAGAAGCTACATGGCATATCTTTTCGAAACTCTGCATATATATATATACATTTATATAATTTGTTCTTCCTCGAATTCTATTCTTTCGAAATAAATGCTCAAAGCTCTCATCATCATCACCATCTCAGCTCTTTTGCCTAATAATCATCTTGGTAAGAAAGAATAACCTACATTATCCCTCTAATATTTTTTTAATAATATGGGAAAAAAAATTCAGCTGTTTTTCTCTGTTTGGTTCTCGGTAAAATTGTGAGAGAAAATAATATATGCCCATAATCAGTGGGTTTTTTTTTTTTAGGTTTCCTTTTGCTTTAATGTAATGATTTCACTTTTTGGATGTTTGTTCTGTTTGTCTGGTATGAGAACAGTGAAGGGTCTGTGTCCGATCTTCGTAGCTTCAGGTTTTACAGGCTTTTTTCAAATTACTTTCGTAAAGCAAATATCGAATCTCAGAAACAGAAAGGCTCATACACGTTTCCTTCTCTCTCTCTCTCTATATATATATATACGCATATACATTGCTTGCTTCCCATGTTGCACACTGAAGATTCCTCTTTGATTGACCTAATTTTGCTTTGAATGTTGCTCTGAATCTAGATCGTATCTTCAAAGCAAGGTTTGTTTGTATTTTTACATACAATATTCAAATGATTTTGTTTTCTTTCACTGTTCTGAGTTGTGTATGGTGAATAATGGGTGATTTTGTTTAGATTATTATTTTTAATTTTTTATTGTTTACTAGCTTCATTAAAGTCATCTCTCATAGTACTAGTAGTGCCTCCTTCAATCACGGCAACCATGGAGGGAGGAATATTTAACTGACGAATTTGCCCCCTGAATTTGAGCTAATTTGCTGAGTGGACCCCGCTGTGGCTTTGTCTCTGCACAGTAATTCAAGAGGGGTAGTTTTGTGTAATTTTTCTCGTGATCACAATGATGATGGCGTATTAAAAGCATGCCTTCAAATCTTGATGTATTGAATAATGAGTGTAGTAGTAAATATGAAAGCTATGTTTCTATGTATGTATTGTTTGTTTTAGTTCTAAATATATTTTGTTTAAATTGTTTGTCTTGTAACTTGTTTTATGGTTTGTACAAGTATATATTTTGTTTAAATTCTGCTATGAAACATTGATCACATAGTCGGACACAGAATACACAAGAATGAACAAGATTTTATAGGGTTGGTTTCGTGTATTTCACTTTCGAAAAATCTTATCAGTATTTGTACACATTTTGTCTGTGTTCATGGTTTGTTTATATCTGCTTCATTGTAGTGTATTCATTCACATTGGATTCCCATCTCTCTCTCTCTCTCTCTCTCTCCCCTTGTGATTTCTCTGAATTGTTGCAGAATTTGTGGGCCAGGGAGCATTGAAGTAGCAGGGAATAGCATACACTGCTTTTGAATTTCGTGGCCAGGAAAGTTGTTAAATATGCAGACTCCAAAGGCAAGGTAACTTCAATGGCTCTGATGGGTGTTCCCTTCCATTTATAGAATGCTTGGCAAGTTGCTTGGTGGAATTTATGGGTAGTTGTTTTGTTCTCCCAATCAGTGAATTTTGCATTTATGACTAAATACAACATTTTTGTAGTCGGAGTTTTTTTAATTTTTTTTTAAAATTTATATGTATATTTTGGATTTTATAGCTGCATAATAGACATTCATCTCTTATCCTATTGATTCCATCAGCTATCTCCTTCTCCATTGGAGTTGTAAGTGCCCATTATCACTAGGGTGAATGTGGTACGTAAGAGGACATCAGCGGCACCACCATCAGAGGAGGCATCACATCGACCACCATCAGAAGGGCCATTAGTGCCACCACTATCTGACCAGCCACCGCAGCGACCACTATTAGTGGCACCATCATTAGAGGAGGCATCGCAACGAGCACCATTAGTGCCACCGCATCGACAACCATTAGTCGCACCACAGCAGCTATCATCTACTCAGCCTCCACGCCTACCATTGGTGTGTCCACCATCAGTGGCACCACCATTAGAGGAGGCATCACAGCGAGCACCATCAGAGGGGCCATTAGACCTCCATCAGTGGCACCGAAGCAGCTATCATCCCGACTAGAGTCATCGGCTTATGAGCCATCCACAGGTATATAAATTTTCTTTGATTTGTATGAAAATTATTTAAATATATATTTTTTTGTTCTCATTACATATAACTTGTTTATTTTCATTGTATTTTTCAGACCCTTCGACTTCTTCACAGCCTCCTTCAGGTATAAGAAATTGATTTTCATGGTTTGTTTATATCTTCTTCATTGTAGTGTATTCATTCACATTGGATTCCCATCTCTCTCTCTCTCTCTCTCCCCTTGTGATTTCTCTGAATTGTTGCAGAATTTGTGGGCCAGGGAGCATTGAAGTAGCAGGGAATAGCATACACTGCTTTTGAATTTCGTGGCCAGGAAAGTTGTTAAATATGCAGACTCCAAAGGCAAGGTAACTTCAATGGCTCTGATGGGTGTTCCCTTCCATTTATAGAATGCTTGGCAAGTTGCTTGGTGGAATTTATGGGTAGTTGTTTTGTTCTCCCAATCAGTGAATTTTGCATTTATGATTAAATACAACATTTTTGTAGTCGGAGTTTTTAATTTTTTTTTTTAAAAATTCATATGTATATTTTGGATTTTATAACTGCATAATAGACATTCATCTCTTATCCTATTGATTCCATCACCTATCTCCTTCTCCATTGGAGTTGTAAGTGCCCATTATCAATAGGGTGAATGAGGAGGTCTTTACATGTGCTAGAAATTGACAGGTTGATCTGCTGTTTGCTTTGCACTCTGATTGTAGATCCAGATGCTTTGTTTTTCAGACTAATAAACCCCTTCATCTCTGATATGGGTTTTTCTTCTTTTTCTGAAATAATTCATGAAAACATGAATATTTCATACTAACTAAATTTTTGATGACTTTTCACATCCATTTGAATATTAGTTTCTATAATAGAAGTATTGGGTCACTGTTTCTTATCACATAAGGGTCTATTGCAGCTAAATAATTTAGTTCTTGTTTTTGCTAAAAATTCATGGCTCTAATTTGTTTTTCACATTTGATTTGGGTTTGTCTTATTTCTTGGATCAATCCATGCGTGTACCACTTGGTACCTGTGAATATGGACAACTTGCTCTGTCTCTCTAAAATAGTTGAGATTTTGCTTCCATAGAAAGAGTTAAAGAGCTACAATTTCTTGTATCAGACAAATGTTTCCCTTGTATTGAGGTTGAGGAGGGCCCTCTTATGAAAGCTGCCGATTCAGTACTGTTTTTCTCATTTAAAGCCTTAAAATGTTAGAGTGGGTGGTGCCATTTGAATACAGGACATCATATATACAGTTTACCCTGTTAGAGAGGGCATAACTTTATCATGTCGGATTAATCAAGCGATTGTAACTTCATGATTAGATCACATTGTCTTCAAAATAATAGATAGTTTATTTAATAGATAGTTTATTTTCAAAATCATACTTGCCGTCAATTTTTTTGAAGAAAAATGTGATCCAATCTTGCGGCTATGGTTATCCAATCAACTTAATTTTTTACATGAATGATTTGCTCGGCATGCCCTAAAAGATGAATGGTTCCAATCATTGAGATGGTTCCTAAACCCATAGAGGCCCCAACAACAGTTCTTGGCAACAAATACTGTTTTGATCACTTTTTTACTAGATCCCGCCTAATGCATAGTGTGAGTTGATGCATAAACTGGCAAAAAATAAGCTAGCACAAAGAGGTTCTCACCCTCTTCTCATGACCTAGTATCTATTTGAGTATTGAGTTTTTGTAGTTTTTAATAAAAAGGACTGATGATTGATGATTTGCATTATCTGAAATCTTACTGTCATTTCGCTGATTTTGGCAGCAGAACGAACCTGACGGAAGCACCTCAAAAGATCTCTCCTCGGGCAGTACGGAAACTCAAGCCAACTACATTAGAGACAGCTCCTGCATCATCTTCAAATCTAGCAAGTCGGACACCAAAAGAGCAGAGCCCTAAAGTCAATGAGCATAGATCACCCAGAAGCCCAGCATCTGAGGTACTTCTCAAAGCAATTAGAACCCACCAAATTTGCTGCTATATAGTGCTTAAGGAATTTCCACTAATCTTTCCATCCAGTCTCTTCATGGAATGGTTTCATAAAAAGTAGAACGCAGAGATAGTTTAACTAGAATACACATTATTGTTCATGTCAAGCTCCTCAACGACTCTTTGCTCCATAAATTTATTTACTCTTGTTTCCTTTTGAAAACTTCATAGTAGAATGTTGAGATCACCTGGCCTTGGCTTTTCGTTTTTCCATTTTCTTCACCCTCCACATATTGTTGGTTCATGGAAACTTCTGTTTTATGAATAATGCATAAATTTGATTGTCCAAAAACTCTAATTTGAAACAACAGCCCTGGTAGTATGCCATAGTTTTGCACCGATCATTTGAGCCCTTTCCACTATAATTCTTTGTCATAACTGCACTTGTGTTGGATTTCTTGCATTTATTTTTTTGTTGTACATTGGATGGCAGTGATTTGGATTAGAGGAAAATTATAGTTATTGTTTGTGATTAGAGGTAATGGAGAACAGCCGTGAACTTATTTTGAAGATGGTGAATTCTTCTCTCCTTTGTGGATGTAATCACACTGTCAAATCTTGTATAGATTGCTATATGTGTGCTTTTGTTTGCTGTTTTCAGTTAATTTTATGTGGTTCGGTTTTGCAATTTTCAACACGTTCATAAGGTCTTTGTTTTTGTTTTAATCTTTACATTGCTTAATTTTATTTTAGGTATTTAAAAATGAAATCATATTTCAATTTGTTTTGGAATTGCAAGTACAAGTTTTGTGTATCCTTTGCTCCCCCTAGAATTTCGTGCCTTTGGTTTGGATATTGGATAAATTTCTAATTTTTTGTCGTTCTTTTTTCTAGCTCCAGAAGAAGCGTCCAAACAGAATTTCTGTATTGGAATCTCAGATTTCCCAACTTCAGGGAGATCTGAAGAAGGTGAAAGACGAGCTAAGTTCTTCAGAGTCATGGAAAACGAGAGCTCAGCAAGACGCAGAGGACTCAAAAAAGCAGCTATTAGCCATGTCTTCAAAGCTCAATGAGTCTCAGAAGCGACTTTTGGAGCTATCTTCTTCTGAGGAAACCCGTGTCATTGAGCTCCAAAAGATCTCTGAAGATCGTGATCGGGAATACAAATCTGAACTTGAGGCCATCCAGAATCAGCACTTGATTGAATCAGCTGCATTAGCCTCGGCTGTGAATGAGATTCAGCAGCTAAAAGCCCAGCTTGAAATGGTAGCTGAATCTGAGGCTGCACAAACGAAGAATGTACAATCAGCCAATGCAGAGCTACTGAGCGTGAAAGAAAACCTAGCAGAAACACTTTCTCTTGTGGAGGACATGAAAAACCAGTTGAGGGATTCCAAAGAATCGGAAGCTCAGGCCCAAGAGCTTGTTGGTGGGACTTTGTTGCAACTTGAAACTGCCAAAAAAACTGTTGAGACCCTCAGGTTGGATGGTACTAAAGCCAAGGAAGCTTATGAATCCATAGCTTTGGAGTTGGATCAATCGAGGGCATGTGTGAAATCACTAGAAGGGTTTGTTTCCAAACTTAAGGCGGACATCATTAACAATGGAAGCAATAGTTCAAAAAATCTCGGTGCTGATTACAAGCTAGAATGTGATATCAATGGAAATATTTGCAAATCAATGCGGCTTGAAACAGAGCTTAGTTCTGCTAAGGCTGAGCAAGGACTGTTAAGAACTGCACTAGAAACTGCTGAGATCAGATTCCAAGAAGAACATATTCGAAACACACTACAGATCAGAAGCGCTAATGAATTGGTGGAGCAGATTAAGTCTGCATCGAGTCTGAGAGAGGCTGAACTCGAGGCTGAACTAGGTAAAACAAAAGCTGACATCGAAGAATTGAAGGCGAATTTGATGGATAAGGAAACTGAATTGCAAGGTATCTCAGAGGAGAATGAGGGGCTGCATATGAAGCTTGAGAAGAGCTTACCGAGCCAGAGAGAATATGAACTGGAAAAGGAACTAAAGAAATCAAAAGACAACATTGAACATTTGAAGGCGAATTTGATGGATAAGGAAACGGAATTGCAAAATATATCAGAGGAAAATGAGATGTTGAAGTCGGAAATGAAGGGAAGAGAAATGGGGAAAATGAACGCTGAGGTTGTTGCTGAAATAGAGGCAGCAAGGGCTGCAGAGCAGGAAGCGAATATGAAGCTTGGATATATGACAGAGGAAGCAGATAAGAATAATAGGAGGGCTGTGAGGGTGGCTGAGCAGTTGGAGGCAGTCCAGGCGGCCAGTTGTGAAATGGAGGCAGAGTTAAGGAGGCTAAAAGTGCAATCTGACCAGTGGAGGAAGGCTGCAGAGGCAGCTGCAGCCATGCTTTCAACAGGTAACAATGGGAAGTTTATGGAAAGAACAGGATCATTGGACAGCAGCTACAATCCTGCAACGGGGAAGATTGGTTCCCCTGATTCTGACGACGTTGTTGATGATTTTATGAAGAAGAAAAATGGGAATGTGCTGAGGAAGATTGGGGTTTTGTGGAAGAAGCCGCAGAAATAGAATCATGAGAAAGGTTAATGTACTTTTTGGTTCCTGATTTTTTTATTTTACGTTCTTTTGTTTGGCGGAAAACCATTTTATTTTTTGGCATCTGGTATGACAGAAAACATTGTGTGCTCAACGGGGAAAAGAAAAGAAGAGAAGCCTATTTGGATGAAAAATGCTTTTACTTTTTAAAGGTGGAAAATGCTTTCTGCATTAAATTCTTACCAATGATGCCACCATAGTACCACGGCTACTATCCCCTCTACCATGGGCACCTCCACCACCCCACCACTAGTACATTAGTTTTAAGAACACTATCAAACATAGAAAATGTTTTCTACAAACAAGTTTTGAGTAATTTTTTTTTTCTCTGAAAAATAATATTTGCCAAAACAAGTAGAGGGGTTAGCTACATTTCTTAACCACATACATGGTTTCTTTTTGCAGGTGCTGCTGCGTGGCAAAAGCCGGGACATTTTTTGAGAAGATGTGTGTGCATGTTTAGTGGCACTCCTGCAATGTTCTCAGTGGTAATTTGCTTAGCTTCGTGGTGATTACAAAGCTTGGTTGCTCATATTATAATGCCAGTTTGTCTATGGTTTGATCATTTGTAGATTCACTGTAGGGTAAATAATTATGAACTCAAGAAAAAAAAAAAAAACTATGTTACTGTGGAATTCACTGGTTGGTTGCACTTTAATGTGGTATGTGATTTGGGATTTATTTTGGTAAATCATGCTTTGAGAGTTGCTTTGGATGTTCTGTTTTGCATCTTGTTTTGCTTGTTCTTATTATATCAAAACTGTGTTGGGATGGTCTGTTTATTTGGACAACAATACCACGTCTCACATTATTTGGCGAAGTGTGAGTCAGGAGACTTGTAAGCGTGAGATATAGATCTTCGTTGTATAACACGTTTTAAAGTCGTATGGGATTGAGACATAGCTATTTGTAACGATAATTGTATTTGAGCTTGGCTCAAATGATCCTGAGCAGGTTGACAGAGGCAATCCTGAGCTGGGATCATGGCACCCTTTGCTATCCTGAGTTGGGTTTCCAGAGTGATGTGGGTGTGAACACTTAGGTATGGGATTGAGACATAGCTATTGGTAACAATAATTGTATTTGAGCTTGGCTCAAATGATCCTGAGCAGGTTGACAGGGGCGATCCTGAGCTCGGATCGTGGCACCCTTTGCTATCCTGAGTTGGATTTCCAGAGTGATGTGGGTGTGAACACTTTGGTAACAAAACAAAAATAAATAAATAAATAAATAAAATGTTGCCAATGCATGTATAAATGTACATGTAAATCATTTCATAACGCAGCGGGTAAAAATATCATATCATATCTTAAGTGATAGAACTTAAAGCGAAGAATTTTGTGGGTAAATTACGTGTTTCAAAAAATGCGAACAATAAACTCTCAGCAGTGGAGTGATATCACAATATGAGTATCACCCACACAAGTCATAGTGCAAAAAACTCGATCGTTGTTTTAATTGGAGAGAGTCAGTATGGGAAAAATCATTTATTATTTGATTCATACCATATTCCATATATCTATGAAGCACGGGTACAAGTACTGGTACTGGTACAATACGGGTATGTCGATACGATAAAATTTTAAAAAAGTATGGTACTTGTAAAAAAATATTTATTTTTAATTTAAAGTAATACAAAAATTAATTAAATTGTTTAATTTGTTAAGATCCGACCTATAATTGACATTTAATGGCAAAAGTAAAGGTATAAATCAAAATTAAATGTCAATATATCAAATAACTTACAAACCACAATTTAATTTAAAATCATGCTAAGCATAAAACTAAAAATAAAAATAATTGACATTTAATGTCAAAAGTAAAGGTATAAATCAAAATTAAATGTCAATATATCAAATAACTTACAAATCACAATTTAATTTAAAATCATGCTAAGCATAAAACTAAAAATAAAAAAGAAGTCTAGTGAAATGAATTTTATCTCTGTAGTAGAAGAAAATATTGTTTCAACTGAGGTACGGTACGGCTTGAGTGTGTACTAAGTACGTGTCGGTGCGCCAAAAATTAAGAAGAAATAATTTAAGTACGTGTTTCGTGTATCTAGTACGTATGCAGAAGTACCATACGAGGTACCATACGCTAGTAAGCATGTTTTTCGAAGTACCCATGCATCATAGCCATATATCGTATCAGATATATAGGTAAGTATATCATTTATCCATATCAGTTGATATGATAGATATAGATATCATGAGTGGGTTATCTAAATAGATTTTGAATTCAAATTCAAACTTTCATGGATAAGATTCAAAAGGGTCATGGATCATACCACATGTTACATGAACGTCCAATTTTTATCAGTACGTGAAACAGTAGGGGATTGCTTTCTGCATTTTTCCTATTAGTGCTTCAAATTGGCTGGAATGGTGAATTAAATTCGCATTGCTCATAATAAGGTTTCATTTGTCAATTGATAGGCCTTAAATTTGATAATGCCTTACAAAAAAAACCTTAATGAAATTTTAATATATATCTATTTTTTGAGAAAAGTTATGAAGTAGTTATATTAAAATAAAAGTCAACATCATACAAAACAATAAAAAAAGAAAATAACAAAGGACCAAACAAAAAATCTTAATGAAATTGCAACAAACTACAAAATTCATCAAAAAAATCAACAATGGTATGGGATAATCACTCTCTGTTTAGTTGTGTTTTGGAAATACGATTCTACACCTACACTGGAGCATGATGTTTGGAACGAATTTTGAAAATACGTTTCCAAAACTCTGCAGAGAACTCTGAGACAGGCGCGTTTTTTGGAATTTTTTTTTTTGCAAATTTTGCTGAACAGGTTGTCCGCGTCCAGTTTTGACCCTGAATGTGAAAATTTTTTTTTTTTTTTTTTTTGCAAAATTGACATGTTAATTTTTATATATTCGAAAAAAATATTTTCTAAATTTTTTAAATTTTTTTATGTGCTTTAAAATAATTTTGAGTTGTATGTTTAGTTATGAGTTATAAATTTTTGTATCAAATATCAAATGTCACATCAATAATTTCCCACTCAAATCAAAACTCTTTTTAAAACTATTTTCAAAACTCTTTACCAAACAAATTTTCTACACTCAAATCATAATTCCAAACCCCACAAACTTAAAATACAACTCATATTCTCAAATCATAATTACAAAACACAACCAAACGCAACCTAAGTTTTTCGTAGATGTGATTTGAAAAACAAGATTTATATTTAATTAAAGCTTAGTAACGTCGTCACTATCGATGTTGTCCTTGTTGCAACTGTTTTCTTGTAGATTGGTCATCGCCAGAAGCCAAAATTGAAGAAGAAGAACATACACAACAATAAAAGAGAAGGATTAAAAGAATAGAGAGTCATTGTGGGTGCTAAAAATTCAAAAATCTATACTAAAGGGTGGTTTGTGATGATCTAAATAAGTGTACTTTTTGACTTTTTATGAAATATGAGTTGAGTATGGGTTGGGTTTGAAGTGATGTGTTAGAGAGGTGATGTGACTTAAATAAAATGATGTGACTTAAATAGAATAGTAACTTTTTAACTTTTTGACTTTTTTAGATCATGCCAAACAAAGCCTAAAAATCATGGGAGAAGCTCTCAAACCTCACTTCGTTTGGAAAGGCTCTGTTTTAGCCAAAAAGTCAAAAAGTTACTAAATTAGCCAATTAGCCAATTAGTCATACCAAAAAGTCAACAATTACGGCTTCTCTCTACTTTTTGCACAGCTTTTAGTAATTAGTCAAAAAGTCATCCCAAACATACAAGTTTTTTTTACCTACCTTTTTAGTCAATTAGCCAAAAAGTTACTAAATTAGCCTGTTCCCAAACGAGGCCTAAGTATAAAAAATTTATATCTACACTTCAGAAGTATTTTTACGTTTCATCAAAAGGTCATCGCGAAAGCGTCGAAATTTGTCAGAATAAAACCCAATGCCCTTGGTTGGGTCTCACCATCAACATATATCTATTGGAGTACTCAAACACTCACTATATTATTAATCACTTAACAAATCTAATTAGGTTACATTTTTTATTTTATTTGTGTACTTTAAATTTACTTTAACAAATAATTTAATCTCCATTGAAGATACTCTTAGCCTCTGTTTGGCAAGGGTTTTTTCAGGTTTTTTTGGCTATTTTAGCCACAAAAAACAAAATAGGCTATTTTAGCCATAACAAACAAAACATCACATCCAATCTATAATCATTACATTCTTCTCTCACAAAAAAAGTCAAAAAAGCCAAAAAGCCAAAAAGCCCTTCCCAAACCAAGTTTTTTAGCCCAGGCTAAAATAGCCAAAAAAGCCAAAAAGTCAACCCACTTCCCAAACGGAGGCTTAGTGAGTGTTGTAGAATAGTATTAATTAATAAGATTTAAAATGAAAAAATGATAAACAAGTTAATTTTAGGAAAATTTACCCATAAGTCTTAGTTTTTGAAAAGTTGAACCATTTAGTCCTAAAAGTTTTCTTATGCTCCATTTAGTCCCATTTGCACATCAATCTAATATTTGAAACATTAATCTGATGTTCGAAATCTAATGTTCGAAACATTAATCTGATGTTCGAAATCTAATGTTTGAAACATTAATATGATGTTTGAAACATTGTAATGGGACCTTTCAGTCTATAAAAAAACTTTTAGGACTAAACAGTGTATAAATTATTAATTTGGGATTTATTGGTGCATCCCCCTTAATTTTTTATACTCCTTTTATAAATTCAATGATATGCGAATAAAATGATTAGTTGATAATTAAAGAAGATAAGAGAGTGTATTGTCTTGAATATTCTAAGGCAATGTCACATCATTAAACTTCAACAAGCAAATCTAACTTTTAGGTCGGAATAGCATCATCCTTCAAAACATTTTTATATCTTTTAAGATAAACACAATAATCTACAATTATTTTAACTTTTTTAACAAGTTCACACTGTTGATAAAATTTTAAAACGTTCCGTTAGTGGGAATAAATAGAAAAAAAATACAAAAATAAGAGAGACTTCTATAAATTACAAAATTTGCGTGTCATTATAAATAATTCTATTTTAGGCCTTGTTTAGCAAGTGTCCTTTTTAGTCAAAAAATCAAAAAATTATTAAGAAAACCAAAAAGTCAATAATTCATACAAAAAAGTCAAAAATTTATCTTTCTCTCTACTTTTTGCATAATTTTTTTTATAAAAAGTCAAAAATTCATCCTAAATATACTAATTTTTTTTACATCATATTTTAATAAAAAAATCAAAAAATTACTAAAAAAATCTGTTCTCAAATAAGGCCTTAGTTTTTATCTTTTATTTTTTTAAGACTTTGAAATAGGGATTACACATTTCTAGGCCCTGGATAAAAAGTTAAAACATGAGAGCATTTCAAACTTGGGAACAGTGGTGGTAGTAAAGGTAGTGGAAATGAGAAAATAGGAGGGGGTGAAAGTGGTAACAATAATAATGACAATATCGATAGCAAAAATGATTGGTGGCCCTAAAAAATTTGGCCCTAATGTCCCTAATTTCTAATTTTGGAAACTGTTTTTTTTTTTCTTTCTTTTTTCCTTTTTTTTTTTTTTTTTTACCTTAAACGGAATTTCGGGGCATTCGAGCCCCGAAACGTCGGGCCCTCAATCACTGCGCTATCGATAGTTGTGTTAGTTGAGAGATAATAATGGTCTTATGCTCATGATGGTGACAAAACAAAACACCATAACGATATGACAGAGGTATGCGTAATAAAAAAGTTATTTGTGGCATAAAATTTTAACAATTAAAAGAATATAAATTTTAATCACAAAAAATATTTAATTATTTTTATGTAATACATTTAGCTTTAATTTATGAATTAATTATCAAACAATATTTGGATATAGTTAATTGTGAATCTAAAAAGTTGATTGTGTACTTTCTAAGACTATTTAGATTAAGTAAATCTAATTTTTAAAAAAAAAATTGATGAAAATACAAAAAAAAAAACTAAAAATAACAAAATCCAAATAACAAAAAATTTAGAAACTAAAAAATTAATTTTAAAAAATCAAAATCAAACAAAATGATTTTTACTAAGAAAAGATTAAAAAGTGTGTACCATATGCATCTTATAACTAAAAAAGAAAATAATACAATTTCACACTTTCTGAGTCATAATTATAAAATATAAAAAAAGTCATAACCAAATATTACATGAGGTATAATAAAAAATTTCACGAGTCATAATTAAAATAATATCATAACTAAAGAAGAAAATTAATCATCATTAAAAAATAAAATGACATAACTAGAGGAATTTTTATAAATTACAAAAATAAAAGAGCCTTTATTCAATGCATATATCTTTGCGTTTTAGGGTTTTTATAAAATATGTATAATTAGGGCATATGATACACCTCTTATTCAAAATAATAATAATAATAATAATAATAATAATAATAATGTGGGTGTTTGGAAAGTGGTTATTTTAGAGATTTTTTGGCTATTTTAGTAAGCCTCCGTTTGGGGGCTTTTTGACTTCTTGGCTTTTTTGACTATATGAGCCTGGACTCAAAAGCTTAGTTTAGGAAGAGCTTTTGACTTTTTGATTTTTTTTGATTTTTTTGTGAGAGAAGAGTGTAATGATTATGGGGTTGGATGAGATATTTTGTCTGTTGTGGCTCATGAGCCTATTCTGTCTTTTATGGCTCATTGAGCCAAAAAAGCCCAATGAGCCCTTGCCAAACCAACCCTAAGTTATTTTAATTTTTGTGTTTAGGAAGATGTGATGGATTTTTATTTGAGTTGATGTATTGAAAAATGTGTTGAAATGATATTTGAAGTTAAAATGACAAATTTTATCCTAATCTCACATTTTTCAAAATTAATTTAAAGAGGCAAAATTGTAATTTACCAACCAGTCACTGTGAGAGTGGTAAGTTGTGCTTACATTGTCACTGTGACAGGCTCACAACCAGACTATATTTTTTTTTTTTTAATTTTTAAAACCTTTGGTTTATGAGCTATTAGTTTTTTTTTTTTTTTAAAGACTATTTTGGCCTTAAAATTAGGTTTCCAAACACCGCCAATAATATAATACTATACCCCTTTCCTTTTTTACCAAATGGTGAGGGGCGAAGAAAAGTTCAATTATCGGAGGAAGAAAAATAAAGAACACAAAAATTAGAGGAACTTTTATAAATTACAAAAACAAGCGGGCCTTTATAAAATGTGTATATCTCTGCGTTTTAGGGTTTTTTTTTTGTGTTTTTATCAATTGAAGCGGCCAAACCGAAGCTATCTGCGTTTTAGTCGAAGGTCCTCTTCCAGCAATAACCATGGGGTATGAACATTCGATCTCACTCTCTTAAATACTTGTGTTTGCTTTTGTTTGGTTTCATGGAAAATTCTTGAAAATAATTTCCCTAGAAAATTCGATCTTCATACGACTTCTATGTATGTATTGGTTTGTGTAAATCATCGCTGTAAACATTTTTTTTGTAATGAAACAATTTGAAAATTATGTATGTATGTGCGATAGTTTTCCAAATTGAATTAGATTTAAGTGAATTTTTTATTTTTTATTTTTTTGGGGGGGGGGGGGGGGGGTTTCAATCCTGTGTTTCATTGAGATCTGAGAGGAGATCATAACTGAAGGATTTAAGTTGGATCAAAATTGATGGAACTTATTATGATCTGTGAAATCAGTCAAAATGTAGGTCTAAGATATAAATTTCAGTATATTAAAAACAGGTTCTCTTTTACATCCAGATACTTGGTTGGACTTGGACTAGGACTTGTTATTCCAAAGCCCTTTTGGAGGTTTTGATATTCTATTGATTCATAGATGGATAGATGCATGTATGAGGTGATCTTCCTTGCTACATCTCACTAGATATTTGATTGAGACCCCTTTTAGAATATCTTTTAGTACATCCATTGATACATATGATGTGAGCATCAAGTATATGGATGTTAGTTCCATCCATGTTGATGAGCTATGGGGCTATTTGTTACAGCTTCTAGGAGTTGATTATAACTTATTTTAATTTTGGGAGTCTGGGCTAAGATTGTTTGGTGCAGTTTTTGCTTATAGCTTACTAGGCAGAAATTGCTTAAATAAGTTGATTTTTTGAAAGTTGGGAAATGGGTGCTTTTAGCTTTTGCTTTCTAATTATCAGCTTTTAGTTTAAAAAAGGTGCCACCAAACAGGGCCTATGTAATTGGAAAATATACTAATATGGAATTTCAACAGTTGTCTTGTGTTCATGTGATTGGTTTTCTGCTATGAAGACCAAGCATTTTCAAGTAAAAATTGGGGTCAAGTGTTCTATTAAAATGAACCTGAGTAGGTGAAATCTATGTTACACGAACTCAGCACTGTGGGGCGAAGTACCCGTCGACACGACACGGGTGTGGGTGTGGGATCTGTGTCAGATTCTCCTCTTCTCTCTCGGACACGGCTCTTTACAAACGGCGGCAAAAGAAATGGAAGAGAAGAGAGCAAGAAAGAACCTGGTTGCTGTTCGAAAGGACGAAGACATTGGTTGCAGACTTCGATCCCTTTGGTCGCTAGCTTCAATAGCTTTGACTTTCACTCGATGCTCGATCTCCTTCTCTGTCTTCTCTCTCATCTCTCGATCTCTCTTTTCCTCTCCTCTCATATCTCTCTCTCTCTCTCTCTCTCTCTCTCTCTCTCTCTTCTTCTTCTTCTTCTTCGTCTTCTTTTTTTTGTGGCTTCTCTTCTCTCTGTTCTCTTTTCTCATCTTTGACTTTTCTCTTCCTCTTTTTGTGTTATCTCTCTGTTCTCTTTTCTTATCATTTTGATTATTACAATAATATAATAATATATAATATTATTCATATTATATAATATATTCACTCATAAAAAATTGAATAATATAATATATCATAAATAATATGATTTTTATACCTAAAATAAAAATAACTTATTTTATCATGTATAATATAATTTATTTTATATCTAAAATAATTTATATTTATTATTTATATGTGTATATGTATTTTTAACAAAATCTGTTATTCCTTAGTTTTTTTTTAAATTCATCTTCATATAATAAATATGTTTAAAAAAAAAAAAAACTATTTAACGTATCCCCGTCCCTGTATCCAAATTTGGATTCATTTCCACGTATCCTCAATTTTTAATTTTGAAGTATCGGATCCCTACATACACACCCGCACCCAATACTCGTACCTGAGTCCATGTAACATAGGGTGAAATCTAAAGCTTTGTTTTGTTGATTAAGGTTGAGTGTGCAAAGTGGTTATTAGCCTGAAACACGTAAAATGTATAAAATACTATGAAGATTCCTTTTCAAGAAGTGTTCAGCTGTGTGGGTAATTTCAGTTAAGCCGTTTGCTTTGCTGTGTAACCATTCTCCGCATTGTAATGCTTCTGACTCCGGAGTTTGAAGTGGATGGCACTGATATTTTTAAATGTAACTCAACGTTTACTCATTGATTAAATAAGTGTGATAAGATAATGATGAGAGAATCAGAATTCTTAGCGTCATTGACCTTTTCTTTTAATTTTTATTGTTTTCAATGGGAATCTGAGATAATTTTAACTTGTCCCACAAATTTCCGGAGTTAATTCTTTTTCTTTAAAGAAAATAAAATAAAATAAATGATGATGTGTGGATAATCTTCTGTATATTCAAGTTTGTACTTGTGATGCCTTATGCTCAATATCTGAATTTCTACATCACTGTCTTGCTGAGGTTGTACGGTTTTGCTTCAGACAGTATGTGCAAACTGTAGTTGGTCTCTCTTTAGGTTTTCATATCTGAAACAATGTGATTTTAGTATATGGTGTATTCAATCGCTGACTTGTAGTTTATATATACACAACAATGCTACGTCCTTCTAATTTATCACCCCTAAATGATCCCTAATGCTATGGCGTTGAGGTTAGACCCCATGTGTTAGAATGTTTGACAAATCAAAATTTGACATTATTAGGGATGGTTTTAGGGGTGATAAATTAGGTGTCTCACGCATTTTTCATATATATATATATACTTCTTCCATTCATTCATTGTGTTTTGGGTTTTAAATTGGTTGTGACAATAATGATGATTTGGGGCAAACACTCCCATGTTTGTAGATTCCAATAATAATGTTATTTCTTATTTAAAATTTTATTTATATATTTTATTTATTTTTAAATATTATTATTTATCACATAAAATTTTAAAATAGAAAGAAATTACAAAAAATCGTCACAAATTAAGCCTTTAATTTTTAGCAGTTGAGGTTCCTTTTTTTGGGAGGATCCTGCTTTTTGTGGGAGGTGTTCTCATATCCCACTTCCTTGGCTAGCAGATTTTCTGCCATTACCTCTTTGGCGAGCATGAGAAATACATAACTGATGCGTACATTTGTGAGTACCTATCGGGCCTGTTTGATTGATTGGAATAATAGTGATAGGATTAATAATCGTTGGGATTAACCATTGGATTGACTGTCTAACTTAATTAGTAGGATAAATGTGTGGGATTGTTAATTCCTACTTCCATATGGTATTGAATATCCCACGATTTTGTGGGATTAGAAGTCCTATGTATTACTAAGCCAGCCATCTTTTATGCCATCCAAACACAGGATCACTGGGTTAATAATCCAATCCTACACTCTAATAGTGGAATCAAACAGGCCCATTGTGTATTTGCTATACTTTCTAGATATACATGGTCACTCTGTCAATTCAAATTTCAATACAGAACATACAAGTTCTTTTTATTGGATTATTTACATTCAATGTTTTTTTTACACTTTTTTTTGTGTATCCATATTTAGTCTGCTAGTGAATTTGTTACAGGAAGACACGTGGAATGGGAGCTGGTCGCAAGCTGAAGTCCCACCGTAGAAGGCAAAGGTGGGCTGATAAGTCATATAAAAAGTCCCATCTTGGCAACGAATGGAAGAAGCCATTCGCTGGGTCCTCCCATGCAAAGGGCATTGTTCTTGAGAAAATGTAAGAAGTTTCTCTGCCCTTTTTCCTTCCAATTTCTGCCCTATTCTTCAAATTTAATAATTTTTCTGTATAATACCTAACTGTTGTTCGACTGGTTGGATTTTACAGTGGAATTGAGGCTAAGCAGCCAAACTCTGCTATTAGAAAATGTGCCCGAGTTCAACTGATTAAGAATGGAAAGAAGATTGCTGCCTTTGTGCCCAATGATGGTTGCTTGAACTATATTGAGGAGAATGTGAGCACCGTCATGTATTCATATTAAAGTAGTTTATTCTCAATTGTTTCTTGATTTTTATAGAAAGTGTTTCTTTTCTTTTTCTGGTGGTTGGCATGTAGGATGAGGTGCTGATTGCAGGATTTGGTCGTAAGGGGCATGCAGTTGGAGATATTCCGGGAGTTAGGTTTAAGGTTGTGAAGGTGTCTGGTGTGTCTCTGCTGGCTCTCTTCAAAGAGAAGAAAGAGAAACCAAGGTCTTGAACTCCAGTGAAGATGGAATCCTGTGAGCAGATTTTCTCCTTCAATTGCTCTTTGTTTGTTTGTTTGTTTTTTTTGTTGTTGAAAATCATTTTATCATTCTCTTAAATGAGTTAGGCTTTGTTTTGCGGCACTATTATGAGACTAAAATAGAAACTTCAATTTTCTCTTGCTGAACTGAATTAAAGGGTGACTTGTATAATAAATTAGTTTCATAAAATCTCTGGTTCTACAAATTTGGAGGGGTTTTAATTTTATGCTCCTTTTAACTTTTGAGATGAGATACATCAGCTTTATGTCCCAGTCTGCAAGTGCGTAAGCATTTCAATTTTTATGTTCCTATAACTCCATCGATTTCATGTCACTGTATGGAGTTTCAACTTTTGAACTTCAGAGGCTCAGTAATAGCATGCAAAGCGGGTATATCTGCTATGAAACTAACTAGCTATGCTAAAGTCAGTAAATTATGTGAACTGTCTTTCATATTTAGGGTTTGGGGTTTGTGATGCTTTCCTTTGTTGTTGTTGTTTTTGACTTAAAATTGCCTAGGATCCCTGCATCTTCGCCCACCAAATGAATTGCTAATAGAAGCAACCATACCAATGCCAATGGAAGCCTGGACATTGTTAACAGCATAGCCAGTGGAGTTTAATTACTTCCATAAAATCCTAGTTTTTAGCATAGAAATTAGAAAACCAAAATCCAAGCCAACAAGTGTGTTGTTGTCTCAGGATGATTCTGACAATGTGGACATTCAGTATCGAAGGAATGAGTTCGGATCCTGTACCGCTTTTTCTTGCGGCCGGTCCTACGGCGTTCCAAAATGACGTCGTTTTGGGGCCAAATTTAAAAAAAAAAAAAAACACAGAATCAGAGAAAAGAGGGGAGAAAGAAACATAGAGGCGAGAGAGGAGAAGAACACCAGCGAGACAACCGAAAACTCGCCATGAACTCTGCCAAACAAATCGAAACACAAAGGCAACATGAAAGCAGAACTCTCTGCCGTCACAACCGACCGGACATCTTCACGGTATGAACCAACTGCCGCCACAACTGACCGGACGTCTTCACTGTACGAACCACAACAAACTCGCAAATAATGAGCCCAAAGAAAGACCCACAACCAGACAAAAGGATCCAAACGATCCTAACCATTTATCATTCATAGGCCTCACCACCTACACAAACAGAGACCTCAAAGCTTTGAAAGTTACTGGAAACATATACAGATCTATGTATGTCACACAAATCTGATGTAATAACATCATCTATATCCCTGAATCTGCTCACCAGCTCACTCTCACTCAAGGATGAGAAGAACTAGCTCAACACAGATCACCATAATCCATGGGGGGAGCTTTCTCTCTCTAAAATCTAGAGAGAGAGGCTCTACTTTCTTCCCCTCACCGGCCTTCCTTCCTCCGCTCTTTCTCTTCTCTGATTCTTTGTTTTTGTTTATTTATTTATTTTTTAAAATTTGGTCTCAAAACGACGTCGTTTTGAGGCGTTGCAGGACCCACCGCAAGAAAAGGCGGCAGACGGCAGAGGATCCAGACTCCAAAGGAGTGCCCCTCTTTTTTTTTTCTTTTTGACAAATTATTCCTTGGTTGTGATGATTAAGAATTGAATTTTCCCACTTATTAGGTGGAAGGTGATATGCAGACTTGATGGAGAACTCTTATAATGAAATGAGACCTCATATAAGGGCATCTTGTATCCAGCTCATTTGGAGCCTATTAGTGCAGTCTTTTATTCAGTTAGCAAACAAAGTTTTGTATTTGTTCTCCAGTCGCAGTTTGTTAAAGATTGTGCTAATTGTGGTGGTGACGCAGTTAATATATACTCAGAGATGTACGATGGTGTCATGGTCGGTGGGAACATTGTACTCTTTTTTAATTTTTTATTTTAAATTATTTTGTTTGATATATATATATATATATATAAGTGAATCACACTTTTACATATCACACTTTAGTTACATTATTAGAGCACTCACGCACTCTCAAAACAAATCGGCATAAATTATAAATATACCTTCTGAGATTTGCTTCAAATACAGATTGTCTTTTGTGGTTTGAAAAATTATAATTACCAACTTGTTAGAATTTTTTATTTAACAGAATTAACTAAACAAATGAAATTCATAATTGCTCTTTTATACAATAATAAAATTATTTAAATTATTAATTGAAACATATTTCTAACATCATTAAAAATTGTTAATTGACTTTATGATTTATTAATAGAATGGGCGATTTGTTATGAAATTAGAAATCTCAAGAGATAGAATGTAATTTCTAAAATTACAGGAAGCAATTCGTATTTTAATCAAATTTTAAGGAGTTTATTTGTAATTTACTTAACAAACAAATATGCATAAAAATGATTCTTGCTATTTTTTATTTTTGTCATATAATATACACTTTATTATACAATTTTAATTATCTCATTGGAGACGCTCTAAGAGAGTCATGAAACCCAAATTTTGCCCGGACACCAAAATTGTAGCTTTCCAATGGGCTGCTAAAAAATCTGTCAAATTGATATTGAGATCCTCTCCATTTTAACAAAATATATTATCTAATGGTTATGAAAAAAATCATCTTAATGTTGTTAAATATGTAACCAAGGTTTTTCATTATAATTATGTAATAGAGAGGATCGGAATTTGTCTAATTTTGGCAATGACCAAATCTTGTCTCAAATTTGGCATAATATTGTCATTGTCAAAACTTGACAAGAACCTTTGTGTGAGAAGAATAATATAATTTTATAGTATTTAGCTATGAAATTTTTTGAAAACAAAAGCATCAAGACAGGTTAAGCAGTCTCAAACTTTGATTGGCTAGAAGTACTTTGATTAAAGAGAGCTAAATCTACTCAATCAAAGTCCATGCCGACCTTTGGAGTTGGAGTCGCATTTTTAAGGAAGATAATCTGAATTTGTTACCCAATAATGTCAAGAAGTTAAAAATGTAGTTTACATTTTATATATGTTCATATATTTTAATATTTTTTATGCACTTTCATATATGTTTTAATGAAAAATGCTTCATTCCTCTGTACTCTTTCAATGAACTCTCGTCAAATTATTTGTCACATCATTAAGAGAAAAAAATTAAGAGATGTAATATTACTCATATTATTTCCGTATATACTAACATCAACTACCGAATAGTAATTAATATATACTAAATTTAACTACCGAACAATCGAAAAATAATTAATATTTGGATTGGGCTTTCCTCCGGTCTAGATTGGAGGATGTTGTTTGGATTTGTGAGGCATGTCATGAGTTTCATTTCGATAATTTGAATCATTCATTTTGTAGAGACTTTCGTGTATCCATGAAAAAATTAATTTGATCCAATGATCATAGTATGTTCAAGTCATAATGTTTGTTACCAAAAAATTAATGATCTATTTTTTAAAAAACGCTTTCCTATATTTTTTTGGTGACACACATAAATTAAACATGTTATAGTTATCAGATTGATTTAATTTTTTTTCAAAAATAATATACCACTACAAAAAAAATTGTTTTTTGCGACGGCGTTTTGCCGTCGCAAATACTCCAAACGCCGTCGCTAATAGTTTTTTGCGACGGGGATCAGTTTTTTGCGACGGCAGGTGGGGGGTCGCAAGAGAGGGGGTTGCAAAAGGGATTTAGCGACGGCAAGAGCCGTCGCAATTGTTTTTGCGACGGTAAAAAATATTTTTTTGCGACGGCATAATTCTGTCGCCAAAAAACTACGAAAATCTGTTTTTTTGCGACGGTAGAGACTTGCCGTCGCTAAAGTAGTTTTGTCGACTGCCTAATCCCGTCGGTAAAAGCATCGTCGCTAATGACCATTGGCGACGGGAACGTAAGCCGTCGCTAAAGGTCTTATTCTCAATTTAATACCTACCTTTTGCGACAGTATTTGAGCCGTCGCAAAAAGATTAATACCATTTTTTTGCGACGGGGGAGCTCCGCCGTCGCAAAAAAAAAAATTTTAAAAAAAAATCCCCGTACAAAAATAATTAAAAATATAAAAAAACCTGTATTAAATGAAAAATAACTAAAAAAAATCTAAAAATTACATAATAATATAAATACATATATAAACAAAAGACGGCACATGATGAACATTCATAATGTTGTTCCATTAATAACAATACAGAAATAAAAATTATACCACTACATAATGTCGCATAATACATACATAATATTGTTCACAAATTTAAATAACATAAATCAAAATCAAAATCAAAACCAAAAGTTTTCGTCTTGCTTCCTTCGTGGGTTCAAAAAATAAAAGCTGGTTATAATCTTTATACGCCCGCATTCCACAAGAAGCAAACTGCAACTAAGGAAATATCTGAAAAAAACAAAATAAAAGTAATTAATAACAATATAATGGTGTTAATATTTTAATTACAGAAAAATATAAAAAAATTAACTACTATATAATTACAAAGATAGTTTAGTAAATAATTTTGACTAGACCGTTTTGCCGTCGCAAAATACCATTTTTTGCGACGGGGATCGCGCCGTCGCTAATAATTCCGTCTTTTTTGCCCTCTTTTCTTGTAGTGTACATAAAGGGTCTTACAAAATAAATAATTTAAATCATGGAAATAGAATCTTTGATGAAATCTACGGTCTTAAATAACTTCTTCAATTTAGATTTTGAGCTGAAGATAATCTCTTCCCCTAACATTTTCCTTAGCATGCCGCAACACACAATTTTGGGAAGGATTTTATACTAAAATTCAGTAAGATTAAATATATATATATATATATATTTGTTTGTTTGAATTCAATTATTTAGGCCCATTTTGAAAATAAAACAGGAAAAAAAAAAACCTCTTTTTTTTTTAATTTTGTTATCTTTAGTGATTTTGTTTTTTATAAATTATGTTAAAATATTTTACTTTTCCGGTCCGTCTTGTGAAGATGAATCTTAAAAGTATATTTTTTTAAAAAAATTTCAGAAAAAATTCATTAAAGACGAAAATAAACCAAAAAAATTATTTATTTTGATTTATTTTTGTTTTTTCTAAATATTTTTAGATTTTTTAAAAAATTATAATTTTTTGGTTCGTCTTATCAAGCTGAACTCAAACCTATAACTTTTTGAATTTTTTTTTTTAAAAAAATCACTAAAAAAAGAAAATAAATAAATGAATAACGCTTTCCAAAAGACCTTTATTATGGGATCAAGATTTGCACAAGGATAAAATTGTGAATTTTGCACAACTACTGTTGCGATTTGTCAAAAAGCAGCAGTCTATACTGCACAGGTCTCACACAACCTAAGAAGAATATTATTCAAATTATTTGTACAAACTTACAATATTAATTAAATATTTATAATATTGTAGAGAGAGTCTGTGTTCACAGACCCACGCCCAAATCTTAGGTTGGATTTGGTCTGGGAATAGAGCATATCTACCCCCGAAATTGGTGCTATCTCATCTCATGCTTTCACTGAAACCCTAATACTTTGGAAGAAGAGAAAACACTACACCCCATCAAACCCCTTCATTTTGGATTTTTCTATAATAACCCCAAAAATGTTTGAAACTTCCAAATTTAGGGATTTTCATAGTTCTTAAAATAATATAAATTAATCATGTATTTTTGTTATTTATTTACTTATTTATTAGACTAATCACAAATGAGTAGGGGTTATATTTTTTGGGGTCTGCAGCATGGTTGAATACCCAAATGTACATTTTTGGGTAATTGAATTTAGCCCTCTAAAATTTTGAATATTTTTTATTTTTTTATTTTTCACTTTGTTACAAGGATTGAGTTTATCTTCAATTTAAAATAATATAAATTAATCATGTATTTTTGTTATTTATTTATTTTTTATACCAATCACAAATGAGTGGGGGTTATGTTTTTTGGGGTCTGTAGCATGGTTGAATACCCAAATGTACATTTTTGGGTAATTGAATTTAGCCCTCTAATATTTTGAATATTTTTTATTTTTTTATTTTTCACTTTGTTACACGGATTGAGTTTATCTTCAATTTGGATAAGGAATTGACACTTTTTATAATGATTTAAATTTTGTTCACTTATTTACAAATTCAATATTAGATCTCAAAAAAATTAGACCCAATATTTAATGAAATAATGGACAGATAAAAAATAAATCTTAGATTCATAAAAAGTGTTGATGTGGCACAATATGAAAGTCCAGATAATTATGGACTAGAGAAGCCATTTTCTTTCTGCAACACCTAAATTTAGATTTTGGGTAATTCTCAAGGGAGTTTTGGTAATTTTGAACCATTAGATTTAAATTAATCAACTACGAGCCTTTCACATATTTTATTGGTTAAAATATATGCCAAGTAACATTTGTTTTACTTTAAATTTTAAAAAGTTGCTAGATTTATTTTTTATAATTTTAATTTCATAATGTCCTAAGAAAGTGCAAATCTAAAAAACAAAATGTTCTAAGAAAGTGAATGTTGATATTGCAAATGTTATCAGGCGAATAATAATTTAAAACTTCATGGCTGCGAAAAAATGTAGCCACTTTGGGTAAGGTTAGGTTTTAGGCTCGTCGAGTTTTATTTTAATGATTCGAACTGTTCATTTTATTAGATCTTTTGTGATATCAATCATGAAATGCGATATGTACTGAATCTCAGAGACCACTCTAGTTCAAATATAAATTTGAGAGAAGTTTAACCCTTTCCCTTATCAATCTAATTATTCCAATGTAATATGATACTCTCTTATTATATTCTTATAATAATACTTTGTGTGTGCGTCCATTCTTAGAAACTACCTGCAAATAAGAATACTTGGCGGGTAAGGAAGAATATTTTGGAAACATACAAACCACTCTAATTCGAAATCCAAATTCTTGCAACAACCAAAGTACTTCTCAACACCTCACATAGTTCGAAGTTCAGAGAATATATGTAACATCACTTCAATCTCTCACTCTCTCTTTGAATGAGAAAACATATTCCTTGCAACAGGCAATGAATGTTTCCATGGTTGAAATTTTATTAATTTATCAATCTATAAAAGCAATATTAGGTACAAACAAATTTTGTATCTGATCTTTATTTTTTTATTTTTATCATTAGATATAAAATTAGCGGTAATGATAAAAAAATTTATTTATGTATAACAATTTTCAATCAATAAAGAAATAAGTAAGGATTTAACAATCAAGAAACAAAGAAAATAAAGGTGATTGAGGTGAATCAAGGCTCTTAAACCAAAATCAAAAGATTAAAATTAACATTCGAGTCTAATAATTGAAGACAAGAAAGTTCTATCATTGGGACTAGCTCAATTCTATCATTGACCAAAATCCCAACACCTTAATAGGTAATCAGGAGTTTGAATATTGTCATAGATGAGTCTCTCTCACCCCAAACTACAGCCTCTGATGATACACACACACAACACCCCCCCCCCCCCAACAAAAAAAAAAAAAAAAAAAAAGAACTATAATTTCTATTTCTAGCAAGCAAGGAGATTTCTAACATCTACATGAGATGACTATTGCTTTGAACCATGGAAACAAGCTCTGTGCATGTGGTGTAAGGTTGCGTACATCTAACTCTTTCCAGATTCTGTATTGATTGGAGACTGGTACACTGAGCTGCCCTACATTAGAGGGCTATGGAGAAGTCCATGCCAAGATGAACCAAATGCATTCCAACTCTCTCTCCCTGAATCAACATCACCCATGTTTGCATCTCCACTAATTTGCCATGGGAATCCCCACAACACTCTATTCTCTCCTTCTCTTCCATTGCTCAATTCTTGCTTCATTGTTGTCACTGTCATATCTTCATATGGCCTCACCATTTCTCCACTAGCATTGACACTCACACCACCCCCATTACCCATCATCCCATAGTACAAACCATGAAAGCCATTTGGGGCTTCAAGAAAGGCATGAGGAGTTGTACCATAGGTTTGGACATTAGGGTTTCCAAGAACATCAAACATTGGAACACCCTGATCATGATGATGATGATCATGATCAAACCCTAGATGACCATTTGGTTGATTGTGGAGCCTAGCAAATGCAAGGCTGAGATCATTGGAATCATAGGTCAAGCAAGGGAGAGTAGAGAGGGGATTGTGATGGGTTGGGATCAGTGGTTGATGATCATCTTGGCTCCTCTTTGATGGTGGTGAGGACCTCCTGTTCTTCCTGCATCCTCCACCTACTGGAACATTTCTCAGTGTTCCTCCTTTGGTCCAATACCTCTTGCATGACTTGCAAAAGTACCTTGGCTGAGAGAGACTGTAGTTGTTGTAGTAACAAAACTTGGTGTTGGTGGATTCACATCTAGGGCACTTCTGTGCTTGTTCTGGCTGAGGCCTTGGTTTCTTCTCTTGATTTGTTTTTGTGCAAACCAACATGCTTTCTAGGGTTTGATGAGTTGCGATCTCCTGAAGTGATCACAAATTGGAAACATCTCAATTGATTAGTAATTATAAATATAATAAATTTAAGGCACAAAAATATTTCACAGAATGGGACACAGATGCTAGATAAAGGGTGAGTTTCTCAATCTGTGAAATCTTTATGTATTCCTAACACTCCACAAAATGAATCTTAACACTGCATTATGTAACATTTATGTGTTTGTAACATTATTGAGAGAGATTTAACCCTAAACTTTTAAATTATATATATATATAATATATGAGAACTAGTGGATGAAAATATAAGATTGGAATTGTTCTGTCACAATTTTTGTTGAGAAAGGAGGCAAGCTTATAAAGCAAGAAACAGAGGGAAACTTTTTTCAAACTGAAAGGATTTGGGTGGAAATTTAAACTTCATAACCATCCCATTTCAAGTAATTCAGATAAAAGTATGACAGAAATGCTCTATAAGTTAGAAATTCTTACAAGAAATCTATTGAAAAAATACAATTTACCCTAAAACACTCATGCCCATGGAATCAATTAATGGAAAACAAAAATCAAAAAACATCCCTTTTCTCCCTTTCTTTCAACCCTTTTTTTTTAAATTTTTTTTTTTTAAACACCAAAATGGTAATCCTTCCAAAATGGATAAAGATTGCGTCTTTTCATAGACCCACAACCCAAAATCACATTAAAAAAAAAAATTAAAAAGAGAGAAAAGAAGAAGAGTGAAAGGAAAATGAAAAGGAAAGTAAAGTTCAATTGAAAAAAAAGAAACTAGTGCTAATGATATGCACTTCTCATCCTACCTGATGGTGTTGTGCACTAGAAGGATCCATCCATACACAACCTGTGACTCTTCCCAAGATTGAAAAAGATGAGTATGTTGAATTTAGAGAGAGAGAGAGAGAGTACAGTGAAAGGGAGAGGAGAGGAGTGATTCAAAGTGAAGTAAAATGAGGCTCTAGCTCTCTCTATTTAAATAAAGCAAAGCACATAATTAGAAAGAGATTATAAGCTACAACAGATTCATGCCCCAGCTTCGAGACAAGACTCCGTGTCTATGTGGTCCCTACACTTGTCATTCCGCCGAAAAAATATCTATTATTAAAAAGATACACAATCATGTTATTTTCTCACCTTATCTTCACCAAAAGACTTGTTGACTCCCTCAACAAGCAAACAACCTCATGTCTAAAAATCGCATATTATATAAAACCCTAACAAAATGATAATAAATTAATAATATGATGATAAATCTCATGAAAGTGACATAAAAATATAAAAATATAATAACGTTTATTGGAAGACACTATGCAAGTACAAACACTATTGAATTTAACATTATAAAAATCATTACATTCTATTTAGCTTTTGTTTTTTAGCAATTTTGTTTGAATCGAAAATTTTGTACAACATCCAACTAGCCTCCAATAATGCCATTACACAACTAAGAAATATGAACATATACATGTGATACAATACAAATATGTCAACATGAAATTTTTCAAAGAATATAGTACATAATCTGTGCAAAACGCATGCAAAATATATGATTTAATATATTTATTTTGTGTAAAGATAAATAATTATATGTCATATATATATATGTATGTATAAATAATTAAGTTAAACATAATATTTTTTAAAGTCTAAATGAAAAGAATAGATATAAATTTATATTGTTTTGTTTTATTGTTGGATTTTGAATTATTTTATTTAAATTTTTAATATGTTTTATATATATCTGAGAGTTGGAAAGCATGAAATGAATGTCATATTAAGGTCGGATACAACACATTACTTTTTTTTTTTTTGAAATGTTTACTTTTCTTAGTGTTACACTTATTTATTTCAAAATTTAAATTAAATGACTTAAGATAAGAAAGAGGGGAAAAAAAATAAATGTTTGACATTGTGAAATCGAAATAACTCAACAATACAAGTCTTTTGGATTGGATTTTCAAATCCCACATTTGGTCATGGAAAAATGCTATTGACCCAGATGCTTTGTTTCAAATTTTTTTGGGTAGATTATTTTTGTGGTAGAGATTGAATTATTATAGTATGAGTCTAAATATGAAATGAATTTTAATTATAAATTTTTATTTCTAGAACCATAGAATTACTGTTTGGTCATGGCTGAATAAAATTTCACATTTCGTTAGGCCTTATCTTATTAAGGAGAAATAACTAATTATGTAGCCCCACACAAAAGACTTGAAGGTTGAAGACCAATGGTGATGATGAATGTGGCAAGGGGGACACCTAGATTATGCACTTACATTAACATGATCTAGGGGAATGATTTTTAAATTTTTTTTTTTTTGACCTTTTAAATTCATCTACATAAGATGAATTGGCAAAGTAAAAAAATTTAACATATTTTTAAAAAAAAGTCATCAAAAACAAAAATTTTAAAAATGTAACTTTTTTTTGGTGTTCCAAAACACCCTTGACCTCTTGATCGTATGGCTTGGACTAATTGCTACGTAAGGGTGTTCCCAAACACCCTTTTAACTTTTTTTTGATGTAACTTTTTTTAATTTTTTAAAAAAATTTAAAAATTCAAAAACTAAAAAAACATCTGTAATTGTTTCTCAATAATTAAGTTATTTTTTGTCTTATAAATTATAAACAAAAATTGTACCAAATTAAGTTGATAAATTAAATAAAGCCTTGTTTGGGGAGTGGCAAAAATAGCCAAAAAGTTATTACAATCTATCACATCACTTCACTTTCTTTATTTTTCTATACGTCTTTTGATAAAAAAATTTAAAAATAATTAAAATAATCAATTTTCAGCCGTAAGTTACAATAAATTAAGTCTATTTTTTAAAATACACTTTTTGTAAATTTTTTTAGAGATAGATATAATAAATTAAATATGTTACGATTATTGGATCGATTTTATTTTGTGTGTGGTTAATATACACAAAGCACACTACAAAATGAACTGTTTAGATTATCGAAACGAGACCTATAATAGCCCCACAGGTCTAGACAATATCCTCGAGTCTAGATCTTGAACAGAAGGAAAGCCCAACCCTTTGGTGAAATGACTATTGCATTCCACTTCATTCCAGTAGACTAAGAAAAATTATGCGGTGGTCTTAGGGCAAATCCACATGATATTCCAATTTGATATTTATTAATTAGAACTGTTAGACCTAATACTTTTTGTTAGGATTTTAGAGAAATAACTTGACAAATATCAAGTGATAAGTAATATAAGGTAATGTTTCAAGATCACCAAATAATTAGTAATAACCAAAGCATTACCTTAGTGATTCCAATGCTAAATGGTTACTCAATAGGATTATTATATCTCATCATTGTTCATTGATTACTCTACATCTCATCAATTTTTATTTTTTACTTTTTAAAAAAAATGGCATCAAAAGAAAATTTCATAGACATTTCTTTTAATTTCTTAAACCTTTTCTTTCTTTTTCTTTTTTGAATATTTTGTCTCTCACAAGCCAAATACATAGGTAATAAATCATCCCATTCATTTCCAACCATGAAAATTAGTTGTAATAGCCATCCTAAACAAACCTCACTTTTTTAAAATGATGATAAGCCAATCAAATAAAGATAAGAAAAGCAAGGCTAAAACTTGGCCACATGCTTCTTTTCCTTCTTTTTCTTTTTCAATTCTAATAGCACTATTACCATTTAGGGCCAAGAATCTTGAAGTGTCAGGAAAATCAATGTCCCCCCAACCAATATTCTCACCTGTCATCCATGTCCAATGAACATACAATGATTGATCCCACTCTCTCATTCTGTTTGGATCCTAAGAAAATGGTTTTATCCTCTTCCCCATTTCAAAAACATTAATATAAAGTAATATAAAATTGTTAATAATCTCGTTAAACGTGTAAAAATATATAAAAGAAATACATAAAAATGCTTTCAAATGTATTTTTATACATTAAAAAAAAAACTTTCTTTTTAATATTTAGTTTTTTTAATTAAATTTGTTTAATGCAATTTATTATAAGTTAAAAATTAAAAATAAAAAATAAAAAAAGTAGGAATCAAAAGCATTCCATTAGTTTTCATATTATTAATTTTTTTAACTTGGTTAAGTTATTTATTTTTAATAAGTTTATCAACACTATACCAAATAATCTGACATAGACTCTAAAAATTACACTAAATAATCATATTGACAATCCATTAAACGGTCATTAGTATTATTATTAAATAATTATATAAATATAATAAAAAATATGAATTTCAAAATCATTAAACTTTATTTTGAATTTTACTTATGAAATAAGTTTGTAATATAAATTTAAAATTAGTAAAATATAAATAATTCCAACAATGAATATAGAGTTTTTTTTTGACTAATTTTTCTGAATTTATGGTATTGCTACCAAAAAAAATAATAACAAGGGTCTTACTAATATTACTAATAAGTGTCTTATGGGCACAAGTAAAAGATAAAAAAAAATTAAGAGTACAAAATACTTTTTACTAAAGTTCCGTTTATATCGACATAAAATATTTTACACAGAAAAAATGTTTTTTGTTTTTATTTTTCGGTGTTTGGTTAACATTTTAAACAATAATATATTTTTATTGCCTAGAAGAGAAATTTTAATTTAATAAAGTGTATTAAGATATTTATTTGAAAAAATTAAATATGTTGAAAATGTAGTAAGTGAGAATCAACTTTATAAAAATTGACTTACAAATTTTTTAAAGATAAGTCATTTTTAAAAAAATAACGTAAAAATATATTTTTTAAAATTTTTACTTATTTTTTGCTTAACCAAATAATAAAAAATGAATAAAATATTTTTTAATAAAAAAATATTTTACGTCAAAATAAATTAGACCTAAATTCAATATAATTTTATTTAAATTAATTTATTTTTTATTAATTTAATAAATTTTATACACATTTTTTAATATTAAACAATATAAAATTCTTGTTAGCAATGAAAAAATAAATAACAAGCAAAAGAGCACTTTGGGTGGAGTGGAGGTTGTCAGAGTGTGTGGGGCCAGAATGAAAGTGGGGCCATGGTGCATAGAAAAATATTATTTTAAATTTTTTATCAAATAAATTATAAAGATTTTATTTGTCATAATTTAAAAAAAAATTAAAAAATCATTATTCTATTTAAGTTATATCATCTTATTTAAATCAAATCAATTGTTTATCACATCACTTCAAATCCAATCCATACTCTATTTATATTTCATAAAAAATCAAAAAATATATTTATTCAGATCATTTTAAATCACTCCTAAATATTTTATATAAATGTAAGATTTATTTTTTTATAAATCACATATTTATGTGAGGTATTTACTCATTTATTTAATAAAAAATTTAATATTTCTAACGTTATTTTGATCACAGTGAAAGGGAGGGACAGTGAAAGGGAGGGACTAGGGATGAGTCACGTTAGTTTGACTGGTCAAAACGACATATCAGTCAAAGAAAAACATTGGTAGAAAAAGTGAAAGTAGGATGGGAAACTGTGCCCCCGCAACACCACATCTAACAGCATCTCCTCTGTCCAAAGGAAAAAGAATGTGCCAATTCCCTCTCTGCTGTTCATCAGACAGATAGACCCTTACATCCGGCACAGCAAATTTGTTTCCAAATTTTTGTATAAAAAACATTTGATACATTTAATTTATCATATTTAAAAATTATTTTTAATGATATATTTGATAAATGTTAAATTTTAATTAGGTTATTTTTTGATAAATTATCTTTCTAAATATTTTATTGGGTAAATTACATTAACACCTCTTGAAGTTTATATTTATTACAGTTCTCCCCTCACCTTTTGAAAATTACATCCCCCTCCATAAAGTTTAAAGTTCCATTACAGACTGCCCCCTGAAATTTAAAATTTCATAACAGTTCCACCCTCACTGTAATGATCATCATACATAAAATTAAATTAACAGAGGGTCAGTGTAACTTTTCGAAT